TTTCACATGCAGTAGGTAGTAAAGTAGATGTCTAATCTCTATACAATCTGGAGATCAATGGTGAGATTCCACCCAGACTGAAAACCTTTTCCATTTCATTGCATATGTGGCTCTAGAGGAATCCTTTCTGCTTTTCACCAAATGGTCTGGATATCTCTGGAGCAGTGTCTCTTCATTACTCAAACAGGAATGTGTGGTTTATGGGCGTGACATGGAGAGACTGTGAGTTGGAATGTAGAGACATGACTTGGTCTTGAGACAGGAAAACCTCAACCAAGGGTAAAACAACAAGTGGCCAAACGGAGAGTTGATTTAGGTCCACGAACCTATACTGTCTTGGCCAGGCAGGCACTACAAAGATTAAGTTTGTCTTGTCATTCACCCTCAGAATGGAAGTGACTGGAGGGAATGCATACAGCAGATTTCTCCATCATGAGAAAAGCATCCGTCACGGAACCCAGGCTGTGACCTGCACTGGAGCAGAATCTCTTGCACTGGCTGTTCAGATTAGTTGCAAAAAAGGTCTATTACCAGGTGTCCCCAAATTTGGAAGATCTGGTGCAGAATGTTTCTTCTTATTGACTACTCAGATGGTCTATGAAGTTCCTGCTGAGAGAATCCACATTAGCGTTCCTCAATCCTGGAAGGTAAAAGGCTTTTAGTGAGATATTGTTCTTTATACAAAAGCTCAACAAATGGATTGCTTCCTGGCACAGCTGATATGACCTTACAGCTCCCTGTTTGTTCAGCTAAAACATAGCTATGGTATTGACTGTGAAAACTTGAACCGCTCAATCCCTGATGGTCGATCTCAGGCCCAATGAATAGCTCAAAGCTCTAGCACATTTATATAGAGTGAAATCTCCTGAGGATTCCAAAGTGCTGACGCCTGAAGTTGACCCAGATAAGCCCCCCAGTCTTTGGTGGACATGTCTGTTACAACAGTTATTGTTGGTTCCAGCAGAAAAGGAACCCCTTTGCGTATGTTCTCAGGATCCAGCCACCAATCCAGGGACTGAAGCAGTTGTGGAAGTACACAAATCAGCATGTCCAGAGAACATCTGCTTGGAGGATGTACTGAGTGAAGCCAGGCCTGCAGACATCTGAGGTGAAACCTGGCATGCTGTCATACATATGGACGAGGCTGGATAGGGAAAGGTGACCTCCTCCTAGATGGAGATTCTGATGCAGATCTAGATGCTCTTGGAACAGTCCAAGATGCCCAATAAGGCCCAGGAGAGTATTCTAATCTCTGCACTGCCCATGGTGGTGGGTACCATACTGGAGACTCTATGTAAGGATACTGTTCTTTTTCCTTGGTCCAGGTGTCCCTAGAGCATGACCTGTATGGAGAGCTGAAAGACCATGGAGGAAATATAGGTCTGTTCATGGTCAGAGTCTGAAGAGGAGAAGATGTAGCTCTCCTAGTGAATGGAAGAGCAGCTCCAGATGGTGTTAGTGGAGGTTTTGGTACTGCCAATACCTGGTGGGGTCCTAAAGGTTGGAAGGGAGAAGGATAGAGCTGCTGTCGAGGGTTGCATGGAAGATGCAGGAAGAACCAAGGGGACAATGAAGCAAATGACATCGATGGTGCCAATGCACTCAAGGCTAATGCAGTCAGTGCCAGATGATGTAATATAAGAGAGTCTGGCAGAGAGAAACACAGAAGGTCCTTTGCTGCAAGGAAAGCCTGTGCTATAGACAGCCCTGAAATCGGAGGCAAGCATTCCTTTGCCATACACAAGGTATGAGCACACGTGTGCTAGTTTGTCACTTTCCCCTAGTTCTTTTCAAAAGCCAGGTGAAACAAACAGACCTTGTAGTGTGCCCTGAAAGTCAGCTATTCTGAGCTATTTCAGGCCAGGGGTCGAAGGACATTCAAGAACTCCAGGGCTATTATGGAGACTGCTCTGTTGAGAGGGATGTAGCATCAGGGCCTCTGCAGTGAATCTCAGAGAGAAAGAGAATCTCTCAGGTAGACTAATGCAGGCCATTTAGGGCTTTACAAGTGAAAATGAACCCCTAGGATCAGATCCTCGGCTGATGTAAATTGTCATAGTTTTATTGACTTCAATGGAGACATGACAACCTACATCAACTTAGGATCTACCCCTAATACTTAACTCAACTTCCAGCTGAATCTCACCTGGTTTTCTATGGCTACATGAGGACAGCACGCAGTAAAACTTTCTTATAATCATCATTTTCTTCACATAAGAGGAGTAAAATAATCTGCAATGCAACATACAAACATGCAAACTCTGGATTGCTTCACTATAAACAGATTTTCACTATATCCAACAGATTCCAGTCTGAATGTTACTGATGGATCAGAATCTCAAAAAGTCAAAATAAATGTTATCATCATCATTAACAAAGTTCGTTTTCGTTCTTTTATTATGCACCACTTCCTTCTTTGCCACACTCTTTGTCAAGTTTTGTATCTGCTGCTGGATTGATGGAAATCTTCTCATCAAAACTATTATCCCGTGAATAGTAAGTATTATAGCCAATATTTATAAATGTAAGTGCTCCCTTGTCTATTTTCTTTGAGTTTCCCTTTTGACTGTGAATGCTAAAGAGGCAGTTGATTTTGTATGGGAAGATGTACTCGAACCTGTGAAGATGCACAAAAGCCTAGAGGAATGCCTTGATGTAATTAATAATCCTTGCAAGAGTCCTAGGATTCTTTTTCATGTTCATGTATATTATTAAGAATTTTTTGTAGCAGAACAAATCACACAATGCAAGAATGAATATTATATGGATATACTAGTTAATATTTTTAAAATGACAATGAACAAGATAACAATCAAAACATTATAGTTAGAAGATTATTGGGATAAAAAGAATTAAGTAAGGTGGTTAACAATAGATTCCAAATAATCTAAACATAAAAAAATAAAAATCTCAAGCACCATAAATGATTATTGGCAGCAGTTAGACCTAAAGTACTCAGAACGATATGGCCATTTCTTGATACATTTGTCAATGTATTCTTTTCTGTTCACTGAAGCTTTTTCATGTCTGACTTCAAGGCAACCAGTATTGTGCCAAGTACTTAATTCTAACACAGTGAGATCTTTCCCATTCTGTAATATCATTTTTAAAGCAATTGGGATAAGATTATCTACAGAACTTTTCAATGGTTTGTCCTTATTGATGCTAAGAATAGATAATTTAAAACTAATCAGTTTACTAGATAGAGAATCAAAAATGTTAGTTATTTCATTTATGAAATACCATAGCCTGTAACCATAAATTGTGAGGGTCAGTCATAAAAGTTATAAGAGCATACCTGACTCATCTTTTTCATGCCCTGCACCAATCTTCACAACCTGCACCAATGCTTTTGATAATCTTACTGGGGTCCAAGTACAAAGTGAAATAAATGCAATCATTGCTATAAAATTGGAAGCCTTTCTTAAATTATATAAAATATAATCCCTCCAGCTTTGTGTCAAATCTGTTTTCAAATCTGTTTTCAAATCTATTTCACAGACTTTGTCACTGTTCATTCACCCAGATTTTCTGCTCTTGAAGAGTTTATGAAATCTAGATAAAGAGCCAAGCACTCAATTGTTGTCTTATAAAATTGCAGGAGCTTATTATCTAAGGATTTAGAATTTATTTTTGATTAACTTTTCAGGTTGTATTCAAATCCTGAGCTCCCTCAGAAACTGGTTGTTAGGGATCAGGACATTTTAGCAAACCAGAGTAAAAGAGAGAAAACATTCTGGAGGACTATAAAAAATGTGTAAAACCTCACAAAGTCCCAATGAAGCATGGTATTATGATCCCCATTTTAAAAATAAGGAAACTGAAGCACAAAAGTTAAGTGAATTGTCCAACATCATTCAGCAAGTCAGTGGCAAAATCTCAGAATAGAACCCTTATCTTCTGACTCTCAGACCTGTGCTTTAGCTATTATGCATGTTTCTTTCCTGTTTGTACTTGAATAAATTCACTAGCACTTGTCCACAGAATTGATGATCATATTAAATTACCTTTGCAGTTGAGGCACAAGACAAGGAATCAGAAAATCTGGGTTCATGCATGATCTTTGGCAAGTCACTCAGGGCCTGATTTTCAGAAGTGGAGAGTATGTACAACTCCAATTGCTCAGCCCGTCTGAAAAATCTGGCCTGTAGCGTCTCTGTAAACCATATTCTTCACCTATAAAAATGGGGAAATTTCCACCTAACTTTTCTTCCAGACTCGATCAAGTTTCCGTTAGCTTTTTTAAAACAAATTATTTGAAGGATAAATTTCAGAATAATTTTGTTAATTCAAACAAATCTGTGCATATCTCTGATAAGTAAACTGAAAAATCATTCTTACTAAGAATTTACACAGGGGAACATTCCTGCATATGACTGTATATCTCTTTTCTAAAAAGTTCCACATTTCAAAGCCCAAATGATAGCCTTCTCCAAAAGTGCTGAAGATTTTTTGAAAATCAAATTATTTTTAATAGCTGCAATATAGTCTAGTGGCTTTCGAGAAATAAGAAAGCTGAAAAAGTATCTGCCCCTGCCTGAATCTGAAAAATATGTTCATGATGAAAAATGTTTCAGGGATCTGCTCCTTTCAGGGGGAACTGAGCTTGCCTATATAGGAAATGACATAGAACTAAAAAATGTAAAGCTGTCAGAAACATACTTTATTTCCTCTCCTGAAATAGAATTGTATAAAAGTATAAAAACTAATTTGCTGCTTTGACTACATCCTGTCACTTTAAGCTCCCTTGCTAACATATTTAACAGTGTTTTGCTTTATATTTAGTTTTCTCCTCCAGAATGAATCTAACTTTACTTACAAGTCATTTAGAATGAGCCACCACATTCCTTCATGCCCTGATTAATACACTGTTCTGTAGCAGTAGAAATCATTTGGATGCGTACCTGTCTGCTATCAGCATTACATAGAACTTCATGTTCTTGGCCAGTATAATGTTGCAAATAAACTTGCAGAAAATCAGTTGTACCTCTAAGACTTACCCTTTGATGTGCAGCGGGGGGTGTTGTAGGGCTAATCAATTCTTGATTTTCCATGAGATTTCCATAATCTGCCATGCTACCTTTGAGAGGCAGAGGAGGAGGAATGTCTGCCATTTCCAAACTAGAGATACCATTCAGCTCCAGATCTGTAAACATTAACATTTAAGTCTCTGGATCATTTAAATCAATCTTAAGATGCAGAATGTTCCTTCAGGCATTAATGCTATGATAGAGATAGTGCCCATGCATCCATTTGCCCACTCTTCATTTCATAGACTGTATAATTATTTGCTGCTCATGGAACAATAGCTTTTAAATTAAAAAAAGAAACTGCTGGAATCATGAAAGTAAGGATCACTATGTCAGGGTCGGTCAACTTTTAAGTGTACAGTTTGTATCAACACTGACAAGGTCTCTCACTGTTTAATAAAAAAGGAAATTGTACAACATTGTCACTTGTCTCAGATTTTACTTGCTGATATTCACAGATCATTTAAAACAAATAAAATTGTCTTAGCTGTAACCTCTGTGTCTATGCGTTGTACAGTATTGAAAATGTGATGTGAATAATTTTCCAAGGTATACACAGAATATAACAGAGCAGAGCTTTATTTACTTTTCTACTTTCAGAAATTTAGACTTTTAAAAATTAAATGCACTAAAGAAGTCCATAATTAAGCACAAATCTCTATTGAAAACTTTCAAAATCTAGAGCACCATAAGAATGGCCATACTGGGTCAGATCAAATGTCCATCTAGCCCAGTAACCTATATTAGTCATTACTAGTTTAAATAACTAACGTTATAAACCAAGAGAATGTACAACAGATTTTTTTTTAATTTACTCACAGAAGGTAGGGAACAACCATTAACAGGGTGAAATTTAGCCCAGTGAAGAAGATCAGAACTAGGCCTATGCACCACTTAACTTCTAATTAAGTCTTGTTTTGAAGGCCTAAGTGGTGTATAGGTCTTGTGCTGGTCCTCCTCACAGGGGTAAATTTCACCCACAGGAACATATTCAGCCATTCTTCCACAGGCAAATCTTCCACTCGTTTAAGCAAGAGCTCTGCCAGAGGAATGAGCACTGATAAGGCCCTTCTTATAATACATCATTTTGTTTATAAACTGGGGAAACTGCTGTCACTTAGAGGCGGATTTTTTTTTTAGTAGATGGAGGATTTGTTTACACTGATTCTTTTTTAATGTAGAGTATTTGGCAATATCTTATATTGTGTGTCTTTTCTGGTTTTCCCAAATGGCCTACCTTACTATTTTCTTCACTAGTACAACTTTAGCTTCAAGACAGTTGTATTGATTTATCACTGAAATCTCTTTGTCATTTCATCTCCATTCAGACTACATCAGCTACATCCATCACTTTCAAATTCTTCCAATGGCCTCCTCAACTTGAAACTTGTCATTTCCTTCAAGGACCTGAGCAATTCTATGGCTGCCTGCTTCACTGTTCTCATTTCTGTCTACTTCCTCCTCAATGAATCCTGCCTCACTTCTCCCATTGTCTCCTTTTCTCTAGTTCTCATCCTTCCTTTCATTCTGTTCCCTACACTTGGAACTCCCTCCCAGATCCAAAAGTAGCAGGCACCCCACCACCTCGTCTTACAAACCCCTCAAAACCCACTTATTCTTAAACACATCATCAGAATCCCCCACATCCCCCCCCCCCAAAAAAAATAATGCTTCAAACAGGCTTCTCAGATTGCCCAGGTCTTGTGTGTCTATTTAGAGATTTAAGCTCCTGACGGGAAAGACTGTCTCTTCATGGGAAAAATCAAGTTCCATGACAGTCATATGCCATGTGTCTTCTTAACAACAAAATTTAATACAATACAATAGTAATAAATTAAATAAAATGATACTTCCACAGTGATTTAGTGGAACATTTGGAGAACCTTGGCAGAAGTAAGATTTGTGTAGGTATGCAGTTTTGATAAGTGTCTGGTTTTTTTTTTTGGGTTGATGTTCTTCCATATTTAACTTAAACTAGCTACATGCACATGTTTAACCCTAGGTTAACCTGTAGACTTAACCCTAACTGTAGTTTTTGAGAGGAACATTTAAATGCCTTCACATTTAATCATATCATTCCAGAGAGAGTTAAAGAGTATTTCATTATGTCTAAATAAACATCTTAAAGTAGGAGATTTATGCCTCTTTAATAGAGAAATATAAGTGTACTGAAGACTTCCCCTAGGTATATTAAATGATAGTATAGTACATATTAAATAATAAATCATTGTATGCTATTGTGGATAAACCATTAAAAACTACCAAGAAGATAAAAGGTCAAAATTTTGATGTCAGTTAGAATGGTGAAATTCCAGTGACTATAACAGAACTCAACCATTTGCAGAATTTTACTTGTAAAATGTAAATGTACACAACTGTAATCCCTGAGTTAGGGAGACAAAACTAACATATTCATACAATTTAAGTTTAAGAAACACTTTGCTTAATGAAGCACACACATATTTTTACTTAGATTAACATAAAAATAGCCTGGTTTATAATTTCAGTGCTGTCATAGAAGAGCTAATTCTTTAAGGTGAGGAAAATGATCACATTTTCTATTTAATACCAAATTTACTTTGATTAGAAAATTAAACTTTTGAGTAAACAGAGCACAAATGTAGCCCTCAGTAAAACAGATGCCTTTGATGTTTACATTATTTTGAGTAGCTATAATTGTATTTCAAACTCTTAATTCATTTGATTTTAATTTCTGGTCATAGAAATTATACAGGAATTTCTGGTAAAGCATTTTAGTGTATTTGCTAAGAGTATGAGAAGACCTGGTTCTCTATTTCTTTAGGGCCAAATCTATTTGTCCAGTCTCAGCCTGTGAATCTCAGATAGGCACTGGGGAGATCCATGGAAGAGTAGAAAAGGAATCATTTCCTCAGACAAAGGAGCAGCAGAGGAGATGACCTGTGGAGACACTACTTCATTTTAATAGATGGACTAGCCTTGACAATTCCTAGTGGCCCCCAACCATGGCTGGAACTGCATAATAGTAGATTTTATTCCAGCCACATCCATGCTCCTCTTCCAAATAACTCTGTCCCCCTGTAGTACCTGAGTTACCACTGTGTAGGGGGTATGCACCTCTTACCTGGCCTCCCCAAAGCCTGGATCCCCCAGTTCCATTGCCAGATAGCATTGCACACTTACAGAGAAGGAGCAGGATACGTCCCAAAGTGAAGGATTTTGATATATTCAGTATTTGTAACACTCTATTTTTCATTTAAAATCAAAGTTCAAATTTAGCCATGGACCAAGTCCAGCACTTCACTTAGCAGACAATTAACATACATAAAATAAGTCTCTGGCCTGAATGGGCAGTCACAAAAGTCACCTTACTGCAGCAAAAAGTTATTTAAACAAAACCACATAATTTCACTGCTATGATTTGGGGAGGAACTGTTTGCCTCAATATTGTATGTCTATTTGTGATCTTCTGAAGACAATGTACCCCCTACCAACCTCCTCTTGGAACCCAAAAGCCTGAATTCATCTTGATTTCTGAACATTTAAGTGTAAATAAGTCTAATAATTTATTTTTGCTACAACTGTGCAGGGTACTTTATCAGAGATGACAATCATCCAATGTTGTCTGTGTATCCCTTATCTTTATTTACTATATGCCATTAGGAACAATTCTCCACTGGCAGGGATCAACTAGATGACTTAAGTCTTTTTCATCTCTACCTTCTTTGGTTCTGTGGAGCAGATTATCAAATTGTAGTTTTCATTCTCCTAGATAGTCAAGAAGCAAGCACTATTCTCAGTGCTCAATATAAGATTAACTGTTTTTAGCCAGCTTGCTTCACAAAAATAATCTATTATCCTGGAATTCTTTAAAAATGTTAGAGCTATAATTCTTTGAACGATTAAGGTCAAGGCTCTGTGTACTCTGTAGCAAGCTGGACCTAAATAATGGAGCAAGGTCCTAGAGTCTGCAGCAATCTGGTAGAAACATTCTCAAAACTATGTGATGACCTCCATTTTAAAAATGTATCTGAAGCTTTCATTAAATATGAAAATGAATATATAATTAGCACAGTAGCCCCTGTGAAATGTAATTCAGATTATGCTATGTGTCCAAATTTTCAGTTTTCAATATGCTAGATTGTCATTTTTGGATTTCAGAGCTGAAAAATAATGTATACCTGTCAGAATTATTGTTTCAGTCTGGAAACTCAGGAAGGCAACATTTGATTTACACTTGGTTCACCTTTTTGAGGTTATCTTTCCAACCAGGAGGTCTAGAAACAATTAAAAAACCCAAACAAACAAGCCTCCCTCTCCCCCAGATTCTATAACACACTTCTGCTACACACAGTGAATTCTGTTGATACAGTTACGTGGAATACAGAAGTCTCAGATTATGGTTTATAAATTTGCTGTGTGTCAACATTCTTTCCAGTAAGTTTTGCTTATTTAAAAATAAAGCACTTTGAAATATCAAAGGAAATAAATAAAGCAAACGTGAACTTGCCAGATCTGTAATTCTTGCTATCTGTAACAGAAGTTCAGCACACGCATAAAAAAGGACTTATTTTCTAAATGTTTCTTTACTAGTTTAGTGCCCAGTGAGATTTTTAGCTAAGTGTCAACAACAGGTCACTTTGCCAAGGCGATTTGTGGAAGCTGACTTTGTACACAAAATAGGAGTTATACTCAGGGCAGCTCCAAGCACCAGTGCAGCAAGCGTGTGCCTGGGGTGGCAAGCCACAGGGGGCGGCCTGCCAGTCGCTGTGAAGGCGGCAGGCAGGCGGCTTTCGGCGGCATGCCTGTGGGAGGTCCGCCGGTCCTGCGGCTTTGGTGGCGGGGACGCCGATGGCGCAGCACCAGCGACCCTCCCGCAGGCATGCCGCCGAATCTGCGTGACCAGCGGACCGCCCGCAGGCGCGCCACCTAAAGCCGCCTGCCTGCCGCCCCTATTATAGTCCATCCAGTTATATAATAGGAGTTCTTGAAGACTGAAGCCAAAGTATGAAAGTTTACAGAAGAATTCACTGAGAGATGCAGGGAAAAGACAAGCTATTCTATGTCTTGTAGCTACTACACACAAAAGGAAAGTCCACCTCAGGTACTAACTACAGTAGCTGGAGACTGTTCCTTCAACCTCTGTACTCTACAGAAGCCAGCACAGCATTAATCTTTAGGCACTTATAAAACAACAACATTTTAAAAAAATGACTCTGTGAAAAGGAGCAGAAAACTTATTTCTTTAAGCAGTTTTTCTTGTTTTAGTAAAAAGTCAAAAATAGTTTTTGTCTCTTGACAAACACAAGAGGTGTACCATAGCACAGGCCTAAGGAGTAAATTCCTTACTATAGCATGTATCTGCAAGCTACATCTTATGGCCAGTGGCGGTAAAACTCAGAGCGAGAACTTGGAGCATGCTGGTGAGAATCTTTGGGAACAGATGTTGATGAAATATTTGACTGTAACACTTATAAATCACCTGAAATGCTTTGCAGGATTAAGGCCTGCCTGTGTGTGTGTTAAAAAAAGTGGTATGTTTCCTATGTATAGAGAGGTAGAGAGGATAGTAACCAAATCTCCAGTCACTGAACTTTTTACACCAAATCTCTAAAGAGATGTGACAAATACAGTCACGAGAGAGTGAGTCAATTAACAATATTCCCATTATTTTAAATTTATTCTGATATTAAAACGTGTAAGAAATGTAAATATGATCAAGTGATCTGGTCACAGAAATCATCATCTGTAATAATATAGCTTAAGCAACCATATCTCTGTTAACTCCCCAACATGCCCTTATACCTCATGATGTGAATGTACACATTGGATTATCCTCATGTTGATCTGACCTAAGTGATTCAGTTGATTCTGAAACATTTCAGAGTAAGGGGGCTGAACTGTAATTCATTCTGCACAAAATATTTTAGGAAAACAAAGTTTCATTAAAAAAAAAACTTACTGGACTGTAAATTGAAAGGAAGTTTGGTCCTTGGAGTGATTGGAGGTGGTGTTGACTGAGGAGCTGGAGATGACGGAGAGACAGAAAAACGTCTTTCACTTGCAATGACATTGATAACTTGGCTCTTTGGTCTTTGTGGTCTCAGTGGACTGATCTGCATTAGGACAAAAACATAAAAATGTGATGTTTTCACCATAATGTGTCACATAGCCTGAGCAGAAACACACATTATTACAACACAGCAGGTTACATTGTAAAGAAAAGCACTTCTTATTGAGCTGTTGATCTTGTGATAAGTAAGACATTTCCCTAGATCTAGACTGTAATATTGCAATGATAAGATACATGTTTTAGATTTAATGAGAATTGTACTGAGGAAAATCATGGGTTTCCCCTTTCCTGCACAGGTTTTTATGAACTAGAGCATGTAGTCTGGCAGTTTTTAATTTTTTGTTCAGTGTTTGGAGTTATTCCTGGTCTTTTGTGACTATACTCTGATATTCAACAACTTCCATCATAGTAAAAAATCTGTTATAAACTAAAGAACACTTAAAAATCAAAAGTCAGGGATGCAGAATTGGTTGTTAAACATATTGCCTTTTCCTCACTCCAGCAGGCACACATGTATTGTTTTATTTAATGTATACTTTTAAAATGAAATTACAGTAAAAAAAAAATAGCCTGAAATTCTCAATGCTAGCAACAAATGCACTGAGACAGCCTAGTTGCCATCATGAAGCATAGTTAAGCTCAGTTTCATGCAAATAATTTTTTCTTTGAAAATGTTTCTTCCATCCATCCACTGTCTTAGATGTTAAATTAGTCCTCTTTCCCAAAACCCCTCAAAATCACTCAAAATTGAATGCATCCAGGGTGTTCAGATATACACAGTAGCCCCAGACTGATACATTGGCATACTTCCTTCAGTTCCATAACCTACAAATCTCTCCTTAAAACCTGTGTCTTCCAGAATGTAGGGATTCCCTCAAGACCTTTTCCACTCAGCTTATCCAGAAGAACTTGTCCAGTTCTGGAAGCACATTTCTCTGGGATCCAAAAGCTGAACTGATTAGCCTCAAATGCAGGGTTGTGGATGCAGAGTAAATCACAGCTCCAAAATTACACAGAAACCCTCTCCCTTTGCATACATTTACACATTTCATGGCATTTACTACACATTACATCACATATTTTTGAATTTGCTTTTGGTTATTTTGCAGGAAACAATCCCTATGCATCAGGGCCGGCTCCAGGCACCAGCCCACCAAGCATGTGCTTGGGGCGGCACCTGGAGGGGGGCGGTGCGGCGCTCCAGCCGGAGAGCGGGGCCGCGATTGGGCTCGCCGCCCTCCCCTGGCGCTCTGACCGCGGGGAAAGTGGAGCCCCGTTTGGGCTCTCCGCCCTCCCCTCGGCGCTCTGGCCGCCAGGGAGAGCGGAGCCCCGGCCGGGCTCTCCGCCCTCCTCCCGGCGCTCTGGCCGCCGGGGAGAGCGGAGCCCCGGCTGGGCTCTCCGCCCTCCTCCCAGCGCTCTGGCCGCCGGGGAGAGCGGAGCCCCAGCCGGGCTCTCCGCCCTCCTCCCGGCACTCCGGCCAGTCAGGGAGACCGGGGCCATGGCTGGGCTCTCCGCCCTCCTCCCGGCGCTCCGGACCGCCAGCGAGACCGGGGCCATGGCTGGGCTCTCCGCCCTCCTCCCG